GATCACCCACCGCAAAGGGCAAGAGAAGGGAACGAAAGCGCTCAGGCCGCCGTTCAGACTAGCCAGGCCCCCGACACCCCCTGGGGCCTCCGCAGGACTGGACGCGGTGTTCAAGCCAGGTCCTGGGTCCGAGGGAGGGAGCAGGGGCCGGGCCGACAGGCTCAGGGCGGGGGTGAAGGGCAGGGCCCATGGCCGCAGGGGTAGGAGCCTGGGGGCAGCTGCAGAGGAGAGGATGGCGGGCCGGGGGCGTCGTGCAGCCGGGCCGGCGGCGGGCGCCGGGGCTTCGGGCCGCGCGCTTACCAGGCGGGCTCGATCTGCGCACCGGGATCCGGCGGGGTCGGCGGGGTCCGGGCCGGGTCGGGCCGCGAGCTGCACCGAGGACTCTCGCCAGTCGCCGACCCCGCCGCCACCAGCTTCCGGCTACGTTGCTCCTCGCACGGTGTCACGGGAAACCGGGGGCTGCTGGCAGGGGCGGGACTTCCGCTTCTGCCCGCCGGGCCGGAAGCACCGCCCAACCACTGTCGCCTTGGGGACGCGTCGTGCAAGGGAGCTGGAGACCCGCGCGGACGGCTCGGGGACCGCACTCCCGGTCCTCTCCGCGCCGCTCCGCCGCGCCCTGTAGACCCCGGACGCCGCTGCGCCAGGCGGGGCGGGGCCAGCGGCCTGTGTCGGAAAGGAAGGTCCTGCGGGTCCGCCGGGGCTTGGGGACCGCCTGCCTCCCTAACTCGGACACGGAAATGCGTTCGCGCGCGTGATCAGGCTCTGAGCGAGAAACTGTTGGCCTGCTCAAATTAGGGTGATCTGAGGCGGTTTATTTATAAAGGGACTAATTAGAGCGGTGTGGATGGGTTTAGGGAACTACAGGAATCGTGCAGGAAGCCTGGCCGGTGACGTCAGTGGCTCCCAGGAAAGGGGGAGTAGAGGTTCCCCACCCTGGAAGAAGAGTCTGTAGGACCGCTGCCTCCTCATTGCCAGCACAAAGTGACCAGCAGGAGAAGCTCGAAGAATAAATACCTGACCTCTCACTCTCTGATCTGATTTTGCCTCCCGTTGGCCGAGCCCATTGCTGTAGGCCCTACAGTGCAGGGGGAGGTGGAGAGGGTGGGAGGGGGTGTGGAGCAACTGGAGAGAGAGAGACAGAGACAGGAAGGGAGGGAGAGACAGAGCAGGCACATCTCATGACAGGCATTGTGAGCCAGCTACAAAGCAGTGTGGGTAGTAGGATCCCAAGTATGTGAGCATGTGACTGTGGAAAGGGAACTGTTCACAATGATGATGGGGGGGGGGGGGGAGATAATTGCAAGTGATTTGTTTTGTTTTGATTTTGTGCTTTTCTGTGCATTCCACATTTTCACTCATCTATGTAACTTTTGGAGTGATTAAGTATAAACATTATTACTGAGGTACGATTTATATTCAATAAAACGTACAGTTCAGTCCTGGCTGGTGTGGCTCAGTTGGTTGGAGCATCATCCAGTGCGGCAGCCAATCCACGTTTCTCTCTCACGTCAATGTTTGTTTTTCTTTCTCTCTCCCTCTCCCTCTTGCTCTAAAATCAATAAAAACACAGTTTTTAAAAAAGATTTTTAAAAATAAAATGTTCAGTAAGTTTTGACAAATGCATACCCCACTGTAACCTCCACCAGAGGCAACCACCGTTCTCAGTTCTATTATCAGGCCTTAGTTTTGTCTGTTCGAGAACTTCATATAAATGGAGTCCTACAATAAGTGACCTTTTGTGTGTGGCTCTTTTACTGAGCTTCATGTTTTCAAGGCTCATCTATGTTGTAGGATGAATCAGGGCCCTTCATTCCTTTTTATTGGTGAATGGTATTCCATTAAATGAATATACCACTTTGTTTATCCATTTACATAATGGGCATGGGAGTCATTTCTGAGTTTGGTGATGATGAATAAAGCTGCCCTGAAGCTCATGTACAACTCTTTTTGTGGGCATATGTTTTATTTCTCTTGTTTAATTACTTAGGAGTAAAATTGCTGGGTGATGGGGTAGGTATATGTTGAACCTTACAAGAACTTGGCAGTCTTCCACCATCTTATACTTCCCCCAGAAGTCTGAGAGTTCCAGTTGCTCCACATATTTGTCAACACTCGATGTTGTCGGTCTTTTTATTGCAGCCAACCTAGGATACAAAGTGGTATCTCGTTGCAGTTTCATTTGCCTTTCCCTGCACTGTTGGTTGAGTGATGCCCTAAGTGCTTGTCTTGACTCCTGGGCATTACCAGCCTGCCCTGTGCCCAGCTGAGCACGAGCCACCCTCCTTCAGTGGGAGCCACCCTCAGGGAAGAGTCACCAGTTTCTGCAGTAGAAGCCAGTGGCATTCACAGGAATGAGGAGGGCTGAGGTGATGTGGACAAGGCACCAATGGGGTCTGTACAGGTGGTAATATGAGACTGTAGATTTCAGATCCTGTGGTTGGGCCTGTGTAGGCTCCATGAGTTGAGAGAGTCAGAGGTGAGTGCTGGTCAATTACAGCAGGCTTCCTGGAGGAGGCAAGCTGTGAAGGGTGAGACATGGAAGAGAAAGAGAGAAAAAAGGAAGGTGTTCCTGGAAAGAGCACAGCTGTAGCCGACATTGGACACTGGCAAGACCAAATAACCAGTGGAGGCTGAATTTTTCATTTTCTGATCATAAAGCAAAAGTTAACCTTGCACTCCACGCCAGACTATGGGAGGTCTGGGGCCACATTCACCCCCAGAGTGAGGCCCATGTTCCCAGAGCCAGAAGGGTGGCCCTTCCAAGGACAGAGCAAGCCTGCCACTCCAGCCTCTGCCTCTCTCTGTGACCCTACGATGGTACGATGACTGCGTCACAGAGGATGAGACACTCCCTGACAAAGGCAGAGTCTGGGCAATAAAGTGAGAGCAGTGAGAGCAGTGAGAGTTGCAGTTTGCAACTGCAAACTGGAAGCATTTTATTAATCCACCTGAAATATGTAGACAATGTGTTTTTGTCTTAAAACTGCCAGTGATTCATTACTTCTCCGTTACAGTAATGTGAACATCTTTGTGGTTTCCTCCTCTGGGCTCTGAAAATTCTCGATGGGAAGGAAATTCAAGGGAAGGGAAAGGAAAGCCTCAGAGCCACTGGCTGTGCAGAGCTGAAGGCTCCTGACACCAGGGGCCACACAAAGTGAGCAGGGAGGAAGCCCCCACAAGCCAGGTAGCAGCTGAGATCTGTAAAGTCGCTGTGGGACTGGTGAAAATCTCTACTTTTTCCTGGACTCAGTTTCCCCATCCCTGAAAAGAGGTGTCCATTCCCCTTTCAGGTCAGGGGCCCACACTCCTGAGCACCTGCCGTAAGTCAGGTCTTGGGCTCGATAAAGACAATCTCATTGGGAGAACCAAGATGGCGGCGTAAGGTACAGACCTGTGTGTGCTGCCTCCCACAACAACATCGAGACTACCAACTATAAGACAAACAGCTATCACTCAGAACCATGGGAAAGCTGGCTCAGTGGAAGCTCTACAACTGGAAGGAACTAAAGAAGAGCATTGAGACTGAGTAGGTTGTGCAGAGGCTCCAAGAACGGAGGTACGGAGTCGCGCGTCAGGCAGGCAGCAACTGGATGTGCGGTTTTTTTCAATCAGAAGAGGCTGCAGACTCTCCAGTCCACTGAGCTTGTTTGGGGCGGGATCCTGAGGTCCCAGACCCCTGCGGGGAGAGGCGGGACGGCCTTGCAACGGGCTGGAGAGCGAGAGTGGCTGTCTCGCGGAGCTGCTCACCAGCACTCGGGGACGCGAGACTCGGAGTCACAGAGAGGCAAGGAGTCTAGGAGATGCCATTGCCCCTTGCTCCACCCTGGTGATTCCCCAGGACCCCGCCCTACTCAATTTACATCCCCACCCAAGCTGTGCCAGTGGCACAAAGGGAACCACCTGCGCTTTTGCAGCCCAGCCCAGCAGACTGCAGATTTCAACTCCTCGCATACATAAGGGACACACTCAAGAAGCGGAGTCAGGTTCGGAGGAAGCCAGAGCCGGACCCGGCTGGGCCGGCAACGTGGAACCGCTGTACCAGCAAACGCACAGGCAGGTCCACCAGATCCAGTCTCACATGGGACACTGGGAGACGGTAGACAGGCAGTCTGTGCACTTGGTAGAAAACGAAATCCAAGCAAGCATATCGGATATTCAGCCACCAGGAACGCCTGGAGATTTTGTCCAGCGAGGAGCCACCCAACAAAGGACAGAATGTCAAACTTCGTGTCACTGAGACGGCCCCCGTGAGGCTGAGACGGCCCCCGTAAGGCCGAGACGGCCCCCGTGAGGTTGAAAGGGCCCCTGTGAGGTTGAGGCAGCCCCCGTAGAGCTGAGGCGGCCCCCGTGAGGCTGGGATGGCCCCCAGACGGCCCCGATGAAGCTGAAACGGCCCCGGTGAGGTTGAATCGGCCCCATGAGGCTGAGACAGCCCCGGTGAGGCTGAGATGGCCCTGGTGAGGCTAAGATGGCCCCGGTGAGGCTGAAACGGCCCCAGTGAGGCTGAGACGGCCCCTGTGAGGCTGAGACGGCCCCTGGGAAGCCGAGAAAAATACCACATGATCTCACTCATTTATGGATAATAAGGACCATTATAGACTGATGAACAAAAATGGATACAGAGGCAGAGCAGCATTGAGCAGACTGTCAAACTACAGTGGGAAGCCTGGGGAGGGTTCGGGGGGGGGGGGTAGGAGATCAACCGAAGGGCTTGTATGCATGCATATAAGAATAACCAATGGACACAAGACACTGGGGGGTGGGGGAGGCCAGGGTAATGTCAAGGGGGGGGGGAAGGAGACATGTGTAATACTCTTTGTAATACTTTAAGAAATAAAACCAAATTAAATTTTAAAAAAAGACGATCTCATTGAAACCACACGAGAACCCTGCACACTCTGACATGAAACCACTGTTCATGTGAAGAGACCGAGGCCCACAGCAATGAAGTAATTTGCCTGAGGTCAAAGGGTCATAAGTAATGGGAGCTGAGGTTTGCACCCAGCTTTTGCACTGTCCTCAGAGCAGGAGGGCGTGTGGAGCTAGGGCACAGGAAGGGGATGGGGAGGGAGTTATCAAGTTCTCTGGTTGGGAAACCCAGCACTAGTCTCAGAGTCAGAACCACAGCAGTTTTGTCCTAAACACATGCAAGTATCGAAAAAAATGGCTGTGGGCTTGAGCACTGGTTGTGAGTGGCTCCATGGGCCCTACAGCCTGGCCAGCTGGTTCGGACAGGGGTGGCAGAGCCCAAAGAAATAGTTGGGACTACACAGGGCTGGACCTGCCCATACTGGTTCTCCAAAATAAACACACAGGTGGTTCCACACTTTCCCCACCACTCAGCACCTTGCTGGGCAGGCACTTCTTCCCATCAGTCTTTTTTTTTTTTTTAATATATTTCTTTATTGATTTCAGAGAGGAAGGAAGAGGGAGAGAGAGATAGAAACATCAATGA